GAAAAGAAAAATTAGCATTAGCTGTAATAAAAAGGTAAAGGTTCCCTTGCTCGAAAGCCAGTCGAATCCGACTCTAGGGTTGCGGTGCTCATCTCCGTTTCAAAGCCGAAGAGCCAGCGCTGTCCGAAGACGTTTCCGTGGTCATGTGGCTGGCATGACTAAACACCAAGGCGCACGGAACGCTGTTACCTTCCCACCGAAGTGGTACCTATTTATCTACTTGCAATTTCTTGCTTTCGAACTGCTAGGTTGGCAGGAGCTGGAACTAGAGACAGGAGCTCACCCTGTCTTGCGGCACCCGGGTCTTGAACCGCTGAACTACTGACCTTCCACAGCCTGCAGTTCAGCGTCTTAACCACTTGAGCCACCGCAGCTCCTTATTAGCTGTAATAACAGTATGTTATTTAACTAAAGGTTGTAAACGTACGTTATGTAAATTTATCAAGGCTGTGTTTACATTTCTTATTAATAAGACTCCAAGGCTACAGCACCAACTGGCCTTTCTTCACATCCTGGACTGTATCTGGAAGCATTACATTGTCTTGTGAACAAAATGTTAGAATAGAAATGGTTCAGAGTCCGCTTAGTTTTCAGCCATTTCTTTCTTTCTAGAGCCTAGGAGAAAGCTATTTAAGAGGGATGAAGCCGTGCCTAGATCAAAGGAAAGCAAAGAAGAAAATAAGACATTTACACAAAAACCTCCTGAATACTGATTAAGAAGGTTACAACAGGCTTACACCAGCAGAGAGATCTTGAACAAGCATTGTATTTAGTATTTGTATAGCACTTTGAGTGCCAAAAGCACTTTATGCACATTATCTCAATAATCCTGTTATAATTACTATGAAAGATCAGCATTTTACTCATATTTCAGACTGCTGGTGGAGGCTGAAAGAATATTTCAATTAAGGTCATCTACAATACCATTTTAAACAGTTACACCCTTCTAAGTCAATTGACTTAAATGGGATTAGAAGTGCAGCCCTGACCTGGATGGACCAGGCAAGCCCAGTCTCATCAGATCTCAGAAGCTAAGCAGGGCCAACCTTGGCAAGTACTTGGAAGGGAGACCTCCAAGGAATACCAGGATTGGTACACAGAGATAGGCAATATCAAGCCACCTCTCTGAAACGTCCAGCCTCACTAGGAGTCGCCAGAAGTCACCATGACTTCCAGGCACACAAACAGAGAACACTCCCCCCCCCCCCCAAAAAAAGAAGTGCATAACTCCACTTGGAATTGCACTGCTGGTGAAATAATGGCAGAGATTTCCTAATTTAGAACTGTCTTTAAGCCACTCTGCTTACACTAATTCTCTCCTCCTTCCAACAAATTTGTGAAATAGGTTAGACTAAGAGAGAGCCTGAAGTCACTAGCGGTCTCATAAAAGCTGAGTCATGCACATCTGTTGTCTATCACATATTTATCTTGCCTCTCAAGATTACCCAGTGCAGTTTTGTACCTGGGTCTACAAAATCCTAGGCTAGCACTGTAACCACTACCCCACACTGGCTCTCACACATGTTGGTAGATTCCCTAGTTGAACAGGAAGAACATCTGGAACTGACCAACAAACCTAACATTCTTAGTACCACACTGAAACAAAGATATACTGTAATGGTCTGCAGCACAGGACAAACATCGCGAGATCATGTGCTGTCCTCAGTTAAGAGTTCTTACTCCATTTTTTAAAAAGTCAATATTTGTTCTTCATTTTGTGCCTTTTTGAAATATTTGCTTAACTGGAATAGGAACAATTTCCCAAGTGGTTAATTATCAAGCAAAGGACATAGTCATTCCTACAAAAAACCCCTTCCCTATTTAATAGCTCCTCTCTTTCTCTTGGGCAAGACACTTTCTGTATTTCATAAACAGGTTATTTTCTTCTTTATCTTTGCCAGTATTCTTTTCCCTTTAATCTGTTGCACTGTTGATGGATTCCTTTAATTCCACTATCATGTGAAACACAATAGCCAAGGTGACTTCTGCTGATGTTGCCCACAAGATTAAAGGAAAGGGGATTAATGCCAAATTACTCCTAACAATAACGGTGCTCATACATATCAAGCAACAAAACTATAGAACTGTACAATTATAACCTTCTGGCTCCTCTCACCCCACTATCTTGTTATCCTTGACCATAATTACAGGAAGTCATGGCTGTGAGACGAATCCTAAAGAAGACATTCTTAGACCTAGACCTAGAGCCTATGGCCAGTCATAAATCTCCCCCTTTTAAAGTCTGGCTCCTCTCACCCCACTATCTTGTTATCCTTGACCATAATTACAGGAAGCCATGGCTGTGAGACTAATCCTAAAGAAGCCATCCTTAGACCTAGATGATTCTTACAGCCTACGGCCAATCATAAATCTCCCCTTTTTAAAAGCAAGGTACTTAAAACAAGTGTTGGCAACCCAAATCCAGACATTTATGGATGACCCAGGTCCTATTTCAATCTGGCTTCCAGCCCCATTTTAAGACTGCTTTGGTTGCCCTGGTGGCTGACCTCTGCCTGAAGGCAGCGGGAATTTACTGGCCCTCTGCCTGGCTTTCTACACAACTAACTTTGGCATTCTTCCAGATCATCTGCCTTACTCACATATAGGTTAGAGGCATGGGATTTGCTCAACTTCTACCTGGTGGAAAGGTTCCATAAGGTGGTGCTGGGGGGCTTCTATCCCACTCTATTGCACCTTGTATTATGGATACTGCTAGATTCTAATCTTCCCCTCATGTTATTTAACCTCTACATGAAATCACTGGGTGAAACTGAAATTCAGTGCTGGTAAGACTGATGCTAATGGTAGACAGTCCTGCTAGCTCACTACAGTGTTATTTCTTTGGCCTGTTTTATATGATGTTACACTTCCCACAAGAATCAAGTTCAGGGCCGGTGGGTACTATTAGATGCAGCCCTATGGATGCCCAAGTGCCATGAAGTACCTTTTACCAACTTTGAGGTAAAAACGTCTGACCACAATTACACTCTTACCTTGACAGTGCATGCATTGGCTTACAACACATTATACATGAAGTTTTTGTTTAAAGACGTTTCGAAAGTTCAGTTGGTTCAGAATACAGCAGGTAGGCTGTTAACTGGTACCTACCCTTTCTTGCTCAACTCAAAATGCCAGTGTGTGTTCAGTGCCGTCAAGTCGCTTCTGACTTATGGCTAATCTTCCCCTCATGTTATTTAACCTCTACATGAGATCACTGGGTGAAACTGAAATTCAGTGCTGGTAAGACTGATGCTAATGGTAGACAGTTCTGCTAGCTGACCACAGTGTTATTTCTTTGGTCTGTTTTATATGATGTTACAATTCCCACAAGAATCAAGTTCAGGGCTGGATTCCCAAGTGCCATGAAGTACCTTTTACCAACTTTGAGGTAAAAATGCCTGACCACAATTACACTCTTACCTTGACAGTGCATGCATTGGCTTACAACACATTATACATAAAGTTTTTGTTTAAAGACGTTTCTAAAGTTCAGTTGGTTCAGAATACAACAGGTAGGCTGTTAACTGGTACCTACTCTTTCTTGCTCAACTCAAAATGCCAGTGTGTGTTCAGTGCCGTCAAGTCGCTTCTGACTTATGGCAACCTTATGAAGTAATGACCTCCAACATGTCGTATCGTTAACAGCCTTGTTCGGCTCTTGCAAACTGAGAGCCTTGATTGAGTCAATCTATCTCAAGTTGTGTCTTCCTTTCTTCCTGCTGCCTTCAGCTTTCCATAGCATAAAATGCTGGTGCCAATCTATAAAGTTCTAAACAGAACGGGACCAGGCTGTCTGAAGGGCCTCTTGTATAAGCCTGCCTGTTTTGCTATGCACATCATCTTAGTATCTTTTTAGCATTCCAGCACAAGGGATAGATGGTAGCTAGTTTAGGTTAGCAGGATCCTAAACAAACCAGAGCAGAAATCTGTACATTTAGAATTGTTATATGCATAGTACACACTTGTCCCATCACTTGAGCAAAAGAAGTGAGCTCCTCTTGGTAACCTCAATCACAGCGAATTTATTTTCTTGCCCTCACTAGCAGATCTGTGATTTTGGATCAAAGATCTAAAAATAGGTGTTGAAAGAAATATATAACCAACTCTCCCTTCAAAACAGAGTGAATACCTACTTCACAGTTCATAGATGCCTAATACCTCTGCCCAAAGCAAGCCTCCTTAGCAGTACACACATCATTTTGACAAGGAAGAAATGGGGTTTCATTTTTTTCAGTTTATATGTTCACAATCGAGGCTGGGGAAACATTTTATGGTGGCCAGTTGCTCCATAGTCATGATGTGCTGAGAGGCTTGCTATATGGATGAGCTGGTCTGCACAAAGCTTCTACAAAACTATTTTCTGGAGGCCACTGTCTGAGATCTGGATACCTTCCACATGAGCAAGTTAACCAAGCAGCAGTCTGTTCTACTTGCTTAACTGATGCGTGATGCAGCTGCTGCACTGCAGAGGTTTTAAGGCAGTCTTGACACTGCTTGCACAGCATACGCAGCCAGCCTAAACCCCTTCTGGTGCTGAGACAGTTAGAAATTGATCCTTCCCTACAATGGCTCCCTCTTAGGACTGATACTGAAGATGTCTGTACAGCAGGTTCATCCCCTACTCAAAGAAGACAGACAGTGAAATGACTTATCACAGTAGGATGGTGATAGAACCACACAGGAACACTCTCAAGGTACCTACTATTCAGAGCTAGAACAGAATCCAGAAGCGTGTTCCCAGTCCTTTGACTCCAACCTATAGATCAGCCCGTCTGCATACCATAATAAGCACAGACAAACACCACAGATACATATTTGGCTATGCATAGGAAAAAATGGACGCATAGTCCATAATGCATGTTATATAAAGGAAAGATTAATAAGGTTTTTTTTAAAAAAAAAAAAGTCAAGTGACAGACAGCTTTTCTTTCATTTGCTTTTCTTTCTCTCTTTTTTTTTTTAAAAAACAAATCTATAAAGAAGTTTTGTATTTTCTCCCAGAGGCACAATCAAAGATTGTTTCACGTTCTTTGTAAAATAGATAGATGGTGAAAAAAACAGCAGCTGGGAACTGGAAGGTGGTCTTCCACAAAGGATAAATTATCCCACAGCATTCATCCAACTAGTCAAGCCTATGCATGTCACAGTTCATCATGTGGGAGGTGCAAGGCGTGGTCACACAGATCTGCAAAAGAAGAAAAAAACAACAATTCTGTGATGCTTTCTGGGGGCAAGGGAATATAATACATGGGGTCCATGGGAGCCAGCATGGCATAGTGGTTAAGAGCAGCAAACTTTAATCTGGAGAACCGGGTTTGATTCCCCATTCCTCCACATGAAGCCTGCTGAGTGACCTTGGGCCCGTCACAGTTGTCTTAGAACTCTCTCAGCCCCACCTACCGCACAAGATTGTTGTGGGGAGAGGAAGGAAGACGGTTGTAAGCCACTTTGAGATTCATTAGGGCAGAGAAAAATGGGGTATAAAAACCAACTGTTCTTTTTCTTCTTGAAAGCACCAGCCCAGTCACTGTTCCCTTCCACAGATGGTTTTTATTTTCAGGAACTCTCTCAGCCCCACCTACCGCACAAGATTGTTGTGGGGAGAGGAAGGAAGACGGTTGTAAGCCACTTTGAGACTCATTAGGGCAGAGAAAAATGGGGTATAAAAACCAACTGTTCTTTTTCTTCTTGAAAGCACCAGCCCAGTCACTGTTCCCTTCCACAGATGGTTTTTATTTTCGGTTGACAGATCCAGGTACCTGAAGGTGTGGTTATCGTCACCCACCTCAGGGTTACAACACCTTACAAGGAGAGGAGCCACAAGACTGCAACATGCCTCTTTGCCTAGGAACCTCCCTGAGACAACTGGTTGCTTCTTCTCCCTTCTCCTAGCCGGCTTGGCTTCCCTTTCTGCTCGCGTGCCTTCTCCCTTCGGCCAGCCCCCTCCCATTTCCCTTTCTTTTCTTTTTATAGCCCTACCTTCACACCTGGCCTTTTAGTTAAGTTCTACCTCCTCTTGTCTGTTCCCTGCTCTCCACAGCCATGTCCTGCCTAAAAACACCTGGGCCCAGAGAGCCACTGTTCTCCCATCCAGGCTTGCTCACTGCCTCCGTACCTTTTGAGCTTCCCTGGGACACACGGCCAAAGCTGCCCTGTTGCTGAGGCTACCATGGCTGCCCCCTCCTGAATTCTGGCCATGTTGGGTGCTTGCTTGCTGCCGTTTCTTGAAGACTCAAGTACACAGCACAACCAGGAAGTATTAAGCTCCTCACACACAGCTAGAGAGCTGCATTCAGTTTAGTGGTCACACACCTGGGCTCACAATAGACACCCCCCCAAAAAAAAAATATGTACAGAGAATTTTATTGTTAGTGTGTATTTCAGGGCACTATTGCCTTAAAATTTTCTTGGGTAGACTTCCCAATTTGGGGACATTTTTCCTGTAGCCACCATTTTCCAAGATGGTGGATATGGTTATTTTGATATTTAAAATTCATCTAGGATGCCCAGTGTCAAAATATATGTTGTTGAGGTTGATAATAGCTGTATAATAGTTGTAGAGATAGCCATTTTTCCTGTAGCTGCCATTTTGCAAGATGGTGGACCTTTTTTAAACATTCTTGTAGGATGCTCACATTGGTGTCGAACTGTATGTTTTTGGGATGGAAATATACTATTCTTTTGGTTGTAAAAACAAAATGAAGTATTTTAAAGGTTTGTAGTTTGGGGGGAGGGTTTCCAATTGGCAAAGGTGGAAGACAAGGATGCATTTTATTTTCCTGTCTGTTCAATATGTATGCAGAACATATAAAGAAAGCTGGATTAGATTTAGATGAAGGTGGAGTGCAAACTGATGGAAGGAACATAAACAAATTGAGATATGCAGATGACACCTCATTACTGGCAGAAAATAGCAAAGACTTGAAACGACTACTGATGGAGGTTAAAGCAAATGGTGCCAAAGCAGGATTACAGCTTAGCATCAAGAAGACAAAAGTAATGATTACTGGGGATTACACAGCTGTTAGGCTGACAATGAAGAAATTGAAATTGTTCAAGATTTTCTATTCCTTGGCTCTATCAATCATAAGGGAGACTGCAACCAATAAATCAGAAGAGAAGCCAATGGAGCCAGAAAAAATAAGGATGTGTCAAGATAATTCATGCCATGGTATTCCCCATTACTAGGTATGGGTTTGAAAGTTGGACAATGAAGAAAGTTGACAGGAAGAAACTTGAGTCACTTGAAATGTGGTGGATCACCAAAAAGACAAATAAGTGGGTTCTTCATTAAATCAAGCCTGAACTCTCCCTAGAAGCTAAAATGACTAAACTGAGGTTATTGTGCTTTGGTCACATTATGAGAAGACAAGAGTCATTGGAAAAGACGGAAACGTTGAAGGCAGCAGAAAAAGAGGAACACTCAACATGCGGGGAGGGCGGAATATAAATAAAAAGTATAAATAAATATAAATATAAATAAACAAACATGAGATGGATTAATTCAACAAAGGAAGCCACGGCCCTCAGTTTGCAAGGCCTGAGCAAGGACATTAATGTTTTGGAGGCCATTAATTCATAGGGTCACTGTAAGTCAGAAGCAAACTGATGGTACTTAACCCCACAAGGCATCCTACTTTTTTTTCCTGTTGACATGACAGTACTTAATACTAACATGATGTTTTTTCAGTTCCTCCCCCCATCTCTACTACTTCTTACCTTCTCCCCAGCTGGTGTTTCCCCTCTACCAGCTCCTGTATCCCCTCCCCCTTGGAAACTCTTACCCCTCTCCTTTACTATCCACTAGTTTGGTCCCTTTCACCTCTGGATGGGGGAATCACACAATGTCAGCCAACAATAATTGCTAAAACATTGCCTGAATATCCTTTCCCCTCTCCCCACAATGTCTATGCAGGAGTTGACTCCACACTTTTTAAGGACCTCATCGTTTTCTGCAGAAACATATACTTTAGTCCTAGATGGGTCCTCTTTGAGAATACTTCCATTCACACGAGGCAACTCATTTTTTTTCTTTTTTTTATTTACTTGGGATTTATATCCCGCCCTACCGAAGCGGCCAAGGGCGGCGAACAAGCGGCAACGCCAGAATAAAATATAAAATACATTAAAACATTAATACATACAAGCCAAAATGGTGCTCTACAGTTCACTAAATTTCCCAAGATGCACAATGTCCCTCATTGGCGGCCGGTGTTGTAGTAGCGTGAGCGCCAGGAGTGATGTTCCTCAACCGGGCGACATCTACCCCCCTCCCAGAAACAGGGTAGATGATAGGGTCGAGTCATGGAGGTGGTATAGAGGCGGCGGCGGCGGTGGCGGCTCCTACTCAAAAGTCTGGCGGAAGAGCTCCGTCTTGCAGGCCCTGCGGAACTGTACAAGGGCCCGCAGGGCCCGGATCTCCGCCGGGAGCTCATTCCACCAGGTAGGAGCCGCCACCGAAAATGCCCTGGCCTTGGTTAGGGCAAGCTTGATGTCTCGGGGGCCCGGAACCTCGAGGAGGTTGAGACTCCCCGATTGCAGCGCTCTTGGGGGAACATACGGGAAGAGGCGGTCCCTTAGGTCATCACTATTAAATATGTGATCACGGTAACGGGCTTGCATCTCTGCCTGTGTCTGTCTAGGCCCAGTGAGATGCATCCACAACAACTTCCCTAATGGTTGACTTATATATAAAGCTCCAACCCCATATGGCATCCAACCATTGGCCTATTTAGCTCAGTCTACTCTGGAAGAGGCTCTCCAGCAGAGAAAGGTCTTTTCCAGCACAAAATTTTCAAGGTCCTTATTAACTGAGAAGACTGAGGACTGAACCTGGGGCCTACTTTATGCAAGATTATGTGCTCCACCATTCAGCCATGCTTCCCTCCCAGACATTTTCATTACCTCTTTTATGTAGAAGGAATGTAGAACAGATGACTGAGTTATTGGACCACAGGATCAACAAACAGGGTTAACTTACCTTTTTAATCATTATAAAATCTAGCCATGCATATAGGCAAACATACAGTTGATCTAGTTACCAGACAATCATCAAGGACATTCCTGCCAGCAAACAGCTGATGGTACCCTTATCTTACTGATCTATCAGGTAAGCACTGCTGTGTTTGCTGATACTGGTCAAAAACAGATACTGCACAATGGATATACTCTGGCTGTAGTGCCATGGCATGCCTCCTGTCCTAAAACAGCAGGGGGCAAGGGTCAGGTGGAAACAAGCACAGTCAAGGTTGTTGTCCAAAAATAGCTCAGTGCTACATGCAAGCTGCCTCAAAGGCAACCTGGCAACCTGTCATTCTTTTGACAGCCAATGAACGTCTTTGGAAAAAGAAGGAAGCAAGGAGAGATTTTATTGGTCTGTTCTCTTGGCTCCACGAAACTAATTGGCAGAAATAAAAAAGGGAAATAAAAAATCTTCAGACGGTTGTAAAAGATGGAATACAGCTATCAACACCGTGCTTTCTTCATATGTTGATAATTTCAGTGTTTGGGATACTCAGATCTTTCTGGCAGCGGCAGGTTTTATTTATTTGCAGTATGCTAGAACACAGTTTGATGTGATGTCTGAATTCACATATTTGCAATTGGCTGGCAACCAGAATCAGAAGTTTGGCAATGGCACCATGCCTGAATTTACAAGACTATGGCCATAACTCTGCCTCCAGAGGCTGCTGCTCCACAGAAGGAGGAGTGAGGCTAATTACAATAAGGACAGTGAATAAAAGTAGTGAAGCAACTTAAAGCCAGGGTTTCTGTTGTATGTCTGGAGGCTCAAATCATGGTTTGGATTCTGAACTGGGTTAGCCTGAACCATGGCTGGGTATGTTGTAAGAATGGAGACACAGACAGACAAGGCACAGGAGCGAGCTCAAACTTTTAAAAGTTTTAGCTGACAATTTCTACTTGTTGCCTAACAAGACATTTTTCAGTCTAACTTGTTGGGAAGAAGATTCCTATGCAAGTCAATTTCCCCCAAGATTAAATAAATCTTAATCAGTTAACCCTGCATAATACATGGTTCTGAAGAACACTGCATCCTTTACTTATTTTTTACACAGTGAACATGACACCCCAGCAGCCTTGGGCTCACTTGGTGGTGCTGGACTATCTTCCCAATAGGGTGACAGGGTAGTGAGGTTCCACCCCATACTGAGGGCCCAGGCACACCAGCTGACCTGGAACCTGCCTCATGTCCAAGCTGGCCAGCCCCAACAGGGTCAGGTTTTCCAGGGGGAGTGTGAGGTTGGCCGTGGTGTTTAGCCCCACCCCTGCCCAGTGTCAAGGGAGCAAGATGCTAGAAGGTACTGCTGATCCCAAAGAGACCCCTGGTGCTTCACACAATCCCATGTATGTAGAAAAGAGAAACATCTTAAAAGAAATATTCCTTTGCAAGATAGAACAAGGTACGCCTCTTGTAAAAATGGCACCTGCTACCTGTGGTTCTTGTAAGTAACCATGTTAAAAATAATAAAGCATACTGCAATATCTACATCCCAATTAATTGGGGACACCTTTTAAAACGATCAATAAGGATTCAATCAATTAGTCCAATGGACTGACTGAATGTTACAACCAAATCCCTTCCCTTTCAACACCATGAATTGCCCAGAAAATGTATAGTATGATCTGATTCCTACCTCTTTTTAAAGTCTGCTAATGCTGACTGAGCCCATTCTTAAAGCCCCTGATCCTGGAATCCCACACGCTCACCTGTGCGTTTGCTGCATAGTCGGTCCTTCACGTTTTCTGCCTCATGGGAGAAGAACTCTATGAGTTCATCTTCATACTCTTCGGCTATACTCTCACACTGCACACGAGAACCAAAGAAACCAGTCAAGCAACTCTGCTGCCCATCCCACAGGCACAGCCAATCATAAACACCACTAATACGAGGGTCAAGACTACTTTGGCAACTCTCCTCTTATGACAGGCTGTAAAATGGAAAATAGTCAAAATTCAAATTGAGCCTGCCTGTGTAGGAGTGAGAGCCTACTGTATTAGCCATTATCATGTTGATGACATGGCTCCTCTCATTCCACAAGCAGAAACACTGTTATACATATGGAAGCCAATATACATGCCCTTATAGCCATCATAATGAATGCTCCCTTGCTAAGCAGGCTGATCACATGGGTATATGAGTGGTGCTTATCCACTGGCTCCTGCAGTAATAGGCCTTGAGCCTCAACAAGAACGGCAGACAAAAAATGAAGGAAATAAAAAATTATTAAAGGTACTGCAGGAACATGGGTGGCAACAAAGAAACTGGAAATGAATGTAGCTATTTGATGCAACCCCCTCACCACCCCCAATGTTTAGCTTACGCAGAAGGGGAAGAGACTGCACAGAACCTAAGGATACTCCGAAGAAACCTATTAAAAGCTTGATGGGGCTTAGCTGCTTGGCATGCAAACTACAGACTGCCGTGATGGCTAGTCTTCTTATATATTGTCTATTGTATCTATCCTTTTCTGTCCTATGTCCATAATATATTCTGTATATCAAGGAGATAGCCCAAAATGCTAGCTTTAAGCCATAATACTGCAACTAATTTACTACATAATATTTGCTACAAAGGATCCAACAGTAAGATCTCCTTTTTCCAAATGCCAAGACTTACAACAGCCAGCTGTGTACTCACCACAAATTTCAGGCTTGACGACACATCACTGTCAAATTTGGTTTCAGAAAGGTCCATTTTAGTCCCGTCATGAGAGATAACCCTTACATAACTTTTACGGTGGGTGGATGGATCCAGATTCTCTCCATAGTCTTTCATGTTCTCACAAATACGCTCCAACAATTCTGTCAGGTGAGCTTCAGACCTGGCATAGGGCACCTATGGCAGAATGAAGACAGTCTGCTAGGCAGATGGCAAAAGCCTCTTTACCACAGCCAACAATAAAAACAACCCCATTTCCACTCTGGTACACAGTAGTTTCAGTTGACTTCATGACAAATAGAAGTTTGCCCATGAAAAGCATGATGTCTTCTCCCTCCTCCAATACAGAAGAACTGTGACTGAAGTCTTCTAGATTTGGGAAGCCTTGAGTCAAACTTCATTTTGCTGTGACTTCCCAATACAGGCACCTATGCAAATTAGAATTTTTCTCCCCACAAACCATAATTCCAAACCTTGGTTTAATCCCCTTCCTACAAGCAGAGGATTACAACAGCCTTGAGAGGTAAATTAGGCTGACAGAGAATTATTGGCAAAGGTGACCCAGCCAGTTTAAGAGAAGGCTGGGAATTTGAACCAAGGACTCCTGAGCCCTAATTGAACATTCTAACCTATAGGTCCCCAACCTTGCTGAGTTTCTGGAGCACTCTAGAAGCTTTGCAAACAGGCAGTAGGGTGCCATCACAAAATCGGTCATGAGGGGCATGGCCAATCACAAAATAGCTGCCTTGGCCCTTGTTGTGAAGCTCCAAGCCGCTTGTCTACCTATAATAGAGACTGCCACTTCCAAATGGATGCTGCCTACAGATATGAAGGTGGTACCACTTGGGTTCCTCTGAAGGAACTCCAGCCCAAGTGAGTTGGAGGAAAGCAAGACTGGCTGTTTGCTTGGGGGAGGAAAGAAGTGTGTGCCATGAAACATTAGCAGATACCATGATGCCTGTGGACACCACACTGGAGGTAACTGCTCTAACAGTGGCACTCAAAATGAGATGTACACCCCATCATTGCTAAGTTCATTGAGTGCTGCTGAGAACTCCCACATCAAGGTTAGATAAGTCTAGAGGTCCCTCGCCCAGTCTTCTAGGGAAATGGTACCCCTTGTTACACAAGCATTCGTCAGGCATCTCAAATAGTTGTTATGTACTAGTCAAGAGTCAGATCTCTCTTCTCTGTTCATATTGAATGAATTGTAATTATTCCTTTTCATGCTATATTGAAGGTTCCAATGCTAATTTATATCTGTTAAGATGTGTGTGATATTTGGAGCTTTGTTTGTATTTATCTTTTGCTGCTCTTTGTTGATTGCACTCCATTCTACTGTCACTTTGTAATATTGTTATATTGTTCAATAATTTTTTTTTAAAGGTTGATGTAAAATAGCCAGAGGAAGAATCATAACTCTTTTAACCATGAGCCCAGTGCTCTAGAATTAATTGCCTATACAGGTGTGTCAACACACCACCTTGTTGGCTTTATGACACCACTGAAAGCTCATCTGTTTTAAGCAGCTGGGGAAAGTTTTTGCTGCTTTAATTAGTTACACTGGACTCTGTGTTTCTAGATTTTTAACTGATTGTTGAATTTTGTTCTAAGACTCTTATATAATGTCTGTTTTATGGTTTGATTTTATATTTTCAGCTGTAAATTGCCTCAGGCTTTTTGGCAGTAAGGCTATTGAGGTATATGAAAATAAACAGATTAGCTGATGGATGTCTCTCACAGAATGCTGAGCATGCCTTTACCTCATTTTGAAAGAGAAATACCTTCTTGACTATACAGCCTCAGCCCATTTGGGAAACTTCTATAGAGCTAGGGAAGGAGGGAAGGAATAAGAGCAAGAAAGATTCTAGAGTCTCCATTTCTTTTTATCAAAAGTTTATCATCCAAGCAGAAGACTGTTTCCACAGATGTCAATCATACAGCAGTGTCCAAAATATTTCCTCATCTCCTGTTCTAGAGATAAGAATGACATCATTGCCATCCTAGTGTTTCCATCAGTCGCCACTGCTATTAAGGAAGGGCCAAGAGCTCTTCAGCTGTCTGAATGAGGAGACACCTGCTCCCAAGGGATGAAAATACCTGCTGCTACCCGGCCCTAGTTGCTACATAGCCCTCCAGCCAGGTATACTATTTTCCTGTGGCTGTTCCAGAGCCTTTAAAGAGAAACAATTTGAGCTTCAGCAACAGTAACACCTAAGGAGAAGAAAGAAGACATTTTACATTTCCTATGCATTTATCTGACAATGTTGCCTTTGTTTCTTTTTTTGTTATTATCGTTATTGTATGTGGAACAATTCCCTTTTATTGTAAAACACTGTATACACTTGGCAACACTGTATACACTTGGCATCAAGCAGAACAGTAACACATGAGTACTTTCTAAATGAACAAATAAACAGAAAAATCCAATTACCTCTACAACCGACTGACTTCCATCTGGATTGATGCGGAAGGAACCCATCTGGATGGTTTTCTTGGGGTCTACCTGAGAAATTTCCCACTCCAGTTCATCTACCAGGGCCCGACATGCTAAAAGGAAATAAAACTTAAATCCAGATAGCAACAACTAATGAAGAGATTATTCATGCTAAAGACATAATTTCAAAAGGCACATTCAGAATCTAGTCTTAAACATAAAAACAAAAGGATTCTTATTTCCCCACATTACAGGGCTGGATTAAATGACCTTCTGGTGCTGTTCATAGGACTATTCAAAACTCTCAACAGGAAGTTATCCAGACAAATCCAAATAGGATCAAAAACCTTGGCTACCCACTGCAGAGCTTACCTCAGCTTTCCATTTCACTCATGTGCTACCAATCAAATGCTCATCGATCCCACCAGTGGCCATTTCCAAAATCCAATTCCCGCCTTTCAACTATCATATGGACCTAAACCCTGATGATTTACACCCAGTTCCAACATTTTTGTGAAAATTTGTAATCTGAATAAATGCAGTATTCAAGACAAAACCTACTGCAAACATGAAACATTTCACACATAGGTGACTCTACGACTTCAGGGGAGTGAAGGTGCAACAAGGGGGAACAAAGATCTTGCTATACACATTATCCACATACTTCATAGAACAGAGGCAGATAAATACATGCTTTAGGACTTTAATATGCAACAATTATTAGCTAGGGAAGCAAAAGCAGGAAAAATTGTGGGAAAGGATCCACTACCCCTTGGAGTTATCTTTGATGTCATACAATTGTGCACACCAGTAATTGTGATGTATTGTGATCTACTTACAATTAGTATTAGGTAGATAAATTGTATGCATGTCTACAGAAAGGGCTGAAAATGAGTGGATAGTGTTCCCCTCTGTTGACCTGAAGACAACACCAGTTGCTTTAAGACTTTCCAGGGCAATAAAACAATTCTGTACGCCTAGTCTCCTTCTCACCTCCAGCATCAAGAAGGCCTTCAGCTCTGCTGTTAAAACAACAGGTGCCATTTCTGCTTTGGAAACTAGCAACCCTTCATAAGAGAAAATCTAGTAGCCACAGCTAAGCTGAAGCTATGGTAGTTCCAAAACATTGTTTTCTGAAAGACGTGGGTCTTGTGGAAGGACATTAGCAGTCCAAACACCTCCCTTCCCGATAAGCACTTCGTATGGTGGGACAGAACATTTGTATTATGCTGACCATACCACTAGCCCAATTACACAATAGGCTTCCATGTCAAGGCCTAGCTACCACCAGGGGTGTTCTAGTGCACAACTGTGTCATACATTTGAGCTGATTTGCAAAGTAAAACCAATATAAATGCAGAAATCATGTCTTGGCAGTCTCCCCCAGGACAGGCAACATTGGACTCACCCCTTAATTA